CTTGGGCCTGGTTTCACCAACGTCACCTAACTTTAAGCCTAGCTTAATTCGTTCTCTGTCCCTTTCCGACTGCGATCCCTGTTTAAAAACAATAGATGGAATACGATCAGATTACGCGAGAGTAGGTGCATGCAATTTCAATGTAAATAAATAAAAGTCTTATCAATTACATTAGATGCACGCAACCTCAATGGAAATTAATAAGACTTTTGCTCATTTACGTTGTAATTGCATGTAACCTCATGTAATCTGATCATATTCTATCTAATATTTTAAACAGGGATTCGCTGGCGTTTAATACAATGCAATCGCTCGTATACGACGGTAATACAGCCGTCACCTTCGATCTTGAAAGCGATCATTTTGTACGATAATCTGCACGTCGTTCCTCCCCTAGAATTAATCCAATTATACTAATTCAATTTTCGTCGGCTCCAATTTTCGCTCCACCGTGATTAATTTTATCGATAATTCGTGGTACGTCTCGCGCTCTTTTTTTTCCCTTGCTGGAGCACGTTCATCGAGGCGATCTCAAGGAGGGATCGAGAAGCTAATAGGCGGGCGGACCGCGAGGGATAAATTGAGAGGTGATGAATTAGCAGCCGCGGGGAGAGATCGTGGATCTCGTCGGGGAGGGATCATCCTCGTCTACCGGCTGGTATCCAGCCGGACGATTCGCGCGTGACGCAGGACGTCCAATTAAAAATAGCCGTCCTCGGGACAAAAGTGAGGGAAAAATGGCCGTAACAAAACCAGCGAAACCTCGTGAACGGCCGTGATCCCCGCCGGGAAGGCGAGGGAGTTGGAGTCAACGTTCGCCAACTTGTCGCGATTCGAAGATGCCGCCGCGGACAATGGAGAGCCTCCCCCTAGTAGCTCAATATATTGGCGCGATGTTGAGAAATAATGTAAATCTAGTGTCGCCAATGTTGGCCCAATATTGTAAGATGGACGCCTTCTCTTGTTCAGCCAATATGTCTATTTAGCAATATTGGTCTAATATTATACCGATATTCTTATTGCATTGTCAAATATTGGCCAATGCGCTTCCAATATAAATCTAATATTATCGTGTAATATTTACACTTATTCCGTAACCAATACTGGCGCTACGTTGGACAATATCGGCCAATGCATCTCTAATACAACCAACATCCCAGATAGCACACATAGCTCTATGAGAGTACAAATATTCTTATTTCGGAATATTTGATTCGAATATTCTTTAAATATATGTAGATTATGGATGTCTTTGGAATATTCGTTCAGAATAATTTTGTAATTTTCATCGAGTTTATGCATTGCACATTGTTTACTGTGTAATACACTTATACAAAAGGCAGTGAAACCCGTAACCATACCATGTATAACCGACACGCTATATTCAACAGATTATTCTATTCACATTCGAGAAAGATTTATAGCAGTGCTAGTCGAATGGTCCACGAACATAAGATAAATATATAAGAATGATCTATGGAATATTCCAAATATTCTTGAAGAATATTCTTCAAATGTTCATAGGAGTGTCTTGTGCTATCTGGGACTGGACCAATGTTCAGCCAATGTGCAGCAATGCACTGTGCTGCTAGAGCCGGTTTAATTTCAATTCCCACTTTTGGCTCCAGGACGAATTGTCACCGATGACTATCTCGTTTCCGAGAGAAGCGGAGGAAACGGAGGAAAAGCCGCGACGCGGAAACGTTACGTGACAAAGAAGCTCGGCGATATATTCCGAGAGAATAATGACGGCGACGAGTTGACGCCGACGGTTTGTTCCTGTAAAAGAGAAGCGACGACGTCTCCGCCGTTCACGAAGATTCTCTCGCGATGAGAGATTTCACCTTTTCCAGCTGGAAGAAGAGGACGACGAAGTAGAGAGATTCGCACGCATGGGAAAGTGTTTTCCCGAGTATTCTCAGAATTCGCCGAACCGCCGGATCGCGATTAGGTTTGTCTAGAATCGTCCTCGCGCGTACAATTAGGAGACGCGTGCGCAAGTAGATTGCGTCATACGCACATAAATTAGAAAAAAAAAATTGCCGTTTGCGTGGACTTAATCGCCGCGTGGAAGAGGGAAACGTCCCTCCCGGGCGTATTTTATCTTCTAATCGATCTTGCGACAAACGAGAATGGACGGCTTGCCATAATCGACAATTTATCCTCGCCTTGTCTCTAATAAAGTGATAGAAAATACGCGAATTCGCCACGCATCCGCGAGGTTCACGGCCGCCACCGCCGCATCGGTTCGAGCGGAGTTCGAGCAAGTATGCGGATGTAATTTCGCGCGACGCGTTCGAGAATCCGTTCTGGAGAATATGCTAACGTTTTTCAACGCTGTTACTTATGCTAAGTGACTCCGCCTGATTTATTGCGTTTTCGGATCGCCTTCTCACGCCTGCTTTCGATATATTATCGCTTCGCCGACGCACAGTGGTGTTTCCGAAAGGGGAGAAATGACTGGGCGAAAAACTGATTAACATACGTCGGCCGATTGAGCGAGCCTTTCGAAAGCAAAGCGAATTGCTCGTTTACTACGACGAATCGACCAGAGTGATATGTCAACAGTGAAAAGTTTCCACTCCGGAGTCCTTCAGCTTATAGAATCATTGATGACATCACGGATTTAGATTTTAGAATTTTTCATTTAAGATTAAAATATTCCCTTCTCTACGGTGAATACGATTTTGGCGCTATATCGATCCTATTTTATGATACATTCAAGTGTAAATAGCATTGGATCCGGAAACTTTTTTCTGTGGGCGGTGTCACAGCCACGTAGGCGCGGGTTCAGGTTCAGGGAGGCGAGAAACTGCGTCGGGAGCATCACTGGCGGTCCCACAGCCAAAGGGAAAGTGCCGAAAACGTAACTGCAGGAATGCGTAGGCAGTTGGTCCGCGAGGCCCGGTCGATGGTCGATAGTCTCGGGGGGCCTCGGGCTGACCGTGATCTTGAGCGATCGAGCGGACGAGCACGCCGCTGATGACCGGTTTTTAACGTGTTTCGAGACGCGGGCCCAGATCGTTACTCTTGACCACGAAATTTACGCTCACGGACGTAACGAATCAGTCGGTCTCTCCGACGCTCGTCTCTCGGCCGCTGATTTTCACCAAGACGACGAATCGTCCCCAGTGAGAAATGGTTCGTCGAAATGACATCGACGGACGAGTCATTTCTCGCTGGGTCGTTTTGCGGCGCGACAATCCGAAACTCGGCGACACCCCATGCAGCACACAAATGTTGAATCAACGTCTCAGAGACGTTCCATCACAACATTGTTATATTGCATCGATATTGCAACGTTTCAACAACATTATCTTAACTTTCTGTGCTGTATGGATGCGTTACCCGTTTCCGCAATTGCGATCTCCGACTGCTCTCTTCCGGACAGTCCGCTATTTGCGTTTACAATTTATTCTGATCTCTGAACGAGTTTCGTCAATTAAATCTGACTTTAACGAGACGATTGTGTAACGCACGCGTTAAAGAAACGTGACGGCAGAGAAAGAGAGTTTCGTTCTTAAAGTACGGCGTTAAAGTACGGATTCTCGTTAAACGTGAATCATTAAACGTGAATCATTAAGGTTTCTTCTCTTCTCGCGCGTCGCGGAATGTTGCGTTGCGCACTGCGCGATTCTTTCCGCAAGAAAACACATCTCGATCGCGGGAAAGGGTTCGCTCGAGTGCTCGGCCGAGATTTACAGCCGCGTTGCAGCGCGGTATTTCTTTTTCTACAGGTCATTACGCACGCCGCGCGCGTATGCGCGTGCACTGTACATACACGATAGAGCAGAATAGAGCGCGTGAGTAGGGCCACTCCTCTTTACCTTCGCGCGAGTCGGAGAATGACTCGTCGTCGCGCTGCCCCGCAACACCTTGCGTTCTCGCGGTGATTATTTTCGGCTGCTTTGTCTCAGCCTTCGCTGTTCGTGACACGCGCGACTCCACGAAGCTTTCATTAATATTAACGAAATATTATATAATATGGTGAAATTTTAAAAAGCTCTCATAAAGATCCTCGAAATGCCACGTTGCCACGCGATTACATGATTTCCTGGGTAAATTTCAAGAGAAAATTCTCTCCGTGCATTAACATCGATATAATTGCAGATGATAGGCTTGTTTTCTGTTGCCACACTGATGAACTGGTGCAATAAATTAGAGTAAGACAAGTATATTTTTTTCCTCATTCCACTAGCTTACTGCACTAGTTCACCAGTGCAGCGATCGAAAACAAGCCTGAAGATGCGGTTGGCCACCGATAAATTAATCTCGATCACTTTTGCGGCAAGGGAGAGGAGGTAATTCGACAGGTCTGGCGGTTGCGTCCCAGTGAGAAATGACTCGTCGAAACGATGCCGAATCAACATCGACACGCTGTCAAATTGACGTCGAGTCGGCGTCGATTTAACGCGCGCGTCGACGTCGATTCAACATATCGTTTCGACACCGATCGACGAGTCATTATTTCACGCTGGGGCGCGGCGCGCGGATCCCCGCCGCGTGTTCACCTCGCGACAACGATTCGCGTACTCCGCTCATCGAGAACGGTTCGCCCGATAGAGAAGCGCGAACTTGCCAGCTTCGCGCTTTTCAGTTTCAGCCGCAGTTATTACGACCCGCGCCGGGATCACAGCCGCGGCGCGGTCGTGAGAGAACACGGGTGAAAGGAGCGGCTCTCGCGCGATTCCGCGATGCTGCGCGCCGCGCCACGCTGAGTCTCCCCGCTCGCGATTCTGGACCTGCAGGTAAAAACTGCCGGGCTGAAAGAACCGCTCCCGCGACGGAAGTAATAGCTCGCGCTTCGCGGTGCGGTGTAGTATACGATACGAAAAGGAAAGCAGCGAAAGTAACCGTCGAGCGGGTCTCGCATGAAAGATACATAAGCCGTAAAACGAATAATTGTGGAAAAGTTAGAATATGCAAATTGTCAGCGGATAATCAAGAATTATATAGGAGAACGGAATATCTCCGGCGAGATGAACGGAAGGGAGACGATGACAAGATTGACTGGTCTCGAGCGGATCTTTTGAACGTGATGTTAATTCGAGGCTCAATTGAGAGAAAGAGACAGGGAGTGACAGGGAGAGATAGGGAGAGACGGGGAGAGACAGGGAGAGACGGGGAGAGACAGGGAGAGACGGGGAGAGACGGGGAGAGACAGGGAGAGACAGGGTGATACAGGGATAGACAGGGAGACACAGGGAGAGAGAGAGAGGGGGGGGGGGTATGTGATTGGAAAGGTGCGATGGAACGTTTTCTCTTCGAGAGGCCTCGTTAAGATCTTCGCATTGTTCAAGGTTGCTGTTGTTAGAGAAAAACGTCCAGTAATTCCGGGACACTCCGTATAGCGATCGGCGATGTAACGGCGCGAAACAGAATCGGGCGTTTACGAATAATGAATGAAATCGACATGCGTACGTGCCAAGAAGTGGACTTGGTTTACAAACAGTGCTTTAACTCATTTATACTTAATAGTGTGCGGTTAATGAATAAATTATAATTAAAATGCATCGGATCTAATCTAATCTTGTTTAAAACTGCTTTTTGTTTTTGTACGACTGTTAGCGAGAGCTCAAAGAAAATTAATTACTTAATTAATCGTTCAATTTATAATAATTTGCATAGTTTCTATCGTCTGCGTGAAAGAAAAATTGTTTCAAACGATGGAAACAATACGCGAATGGAAAAGGCGCGTTGCGCCTTTCGGTTCCCGTTGATCTGATCCGAATTCGAAAATCGCAGATTCCAGTCGTGCCTCCTGCTCTCGGAGGCACCTCTTACCATTGTTTCGGGGCAGAACGATTACCGGGGAGGCGGTTACGCGTTACGTAACGATTTCGTCGGGCGCGGGCGCACTTTCCGCGCGCCGGCGATTGTGTTAGCGCCGCCGTTGCGTTTGCCTCATACAGGATGTTTTCCGAACGAGCTCACGCCTTACAATGCTCATGCTCGAGCTGATAGCGATCGGGCGAGAAGGAAATTTTTTTTTAACTTGCGACACACTCGATTGCCTCACGCAAATCGCGAAATCGCCCCGCTCTTTTTAGCCTTCTCGCGCGCTCGATCGCGGCGAAATTAAAATTCGACCGGCAATGTCAATGTTTTGTCACGCAAGCAAAACGCTTATCTTTCACGAAGGAATTTAAGCGATTGAAAATATCGAGGGATATCGATTAGGCAATTATTAAAATGTCTTGCACATTAGAATGAAAAATTTAAGTCCCTTCAAATTTTAATTACTTGGGAAAAAGTATATACATTTAATCGTATCTGAGTATATCCAACTCAGACGTAAGCAGATATGAATTTCTTCCGCGGAGAGCGATGTGCACCGCGTAAATCCGAGGACGATCTCTCTCTCGTGTAGGAGATTGATAATTAGCAATCCCCGTAAAAGACGCGCGCGCGAATGTAATCGACAAGACGTTGTTTCTAATGAAGCAGAATCCGCCGGCATTTTTACATAACCGTTAATTGTTGGGGGAGAGGAAAAGTAACGGTGCTTTGCAAAATAACGGTAATACGTCATATTTACGCGGCTGATGTAACACGCAGTTTTTTTATCCCGTCCCAAGAGATGATTATGAGCGGCCGATTGCACGTGCGACTGCAATAATTGCGTAATTGTCTGAGAATTACCGCTCGATTCTCCCATGATCGTAGGAAATATTATTCTGTGTTAAATGCGACTCGCAAATTATTTTGTCTTGTCTAATCGTAAAACTGCACGAGATACAGTTATTAATAATTGATATGAATCGTGGATGTAACGTGTATCTTTGCGGTATCTTAATTGCAACAATATTTTTTTCTATTTCACAGGTGATACGAACTTGAAAAGGATTCTCTTTTTTAAATCCCTTGGGAAAATATATCTTAGAAAACCTTAAAACTTTACTTTAGAAAAATAAGAAATATGAACAGTAAAGGACACTTCAAGAAACTTTAATTTTATTTAAAGTAAATTTTCCCAAAGGATTCTTCATGAATTAGCGAAATCTGTTCACAATGAACTACCAAAGAATTTCTTTGGTGCCGATTCTTCTATAAAAGAATTCCTGATGCATCCAGAAAGGAGCTCGAAATTGGTGAACACAGAACCAAACTCTTTTTGAGGTCTTAAGAATGTTTTTAAAACAGATACGGGACGGAAACAGAATTTATTTTACAATTCGAGTGAATCCTTTTTAGATTCTCTGTCCGGGCGCTTACATATTTCGACGACGTGATATTTTTATCGCGTGCACGACGCGAAAAAGTGAGGCTGCTACGATGACTATTATTATCAAACAGTCACAGCAGAACAATTAACATAGCGAGACAACTTTTTTCTCATGCTCTTTTTCTCTTATTCGCGTCTTTCAGATTCGTGTGTCCGCGTAGGATGAGATCAGACTGAGCGCAATGACATCGAGATACTTCGTGTTCGTCGCAGCTCTAGCGTATGGTGAGTGTAATGATGTCATCGCTGATAAATGCAGAATTTTGAGTAAAGCTCCTTTCGTCTCAAGGCCCGCCAGAAATCCTCCGGCCGACGGCGTCGCGATCCGATATGTAGATAGAGAAAAGTCCCCTATTATGAGATAAGCTCCTAATAATGAGCTAGCAGGATTTTTGCTAAATTAATGGGCATCCTCTGTTGGTTTCATCGTTAATTTATTGCCCGAGTGAAATCTGTTTAGTGGCACTTGTTGTTAGATCGCGTAATCGTTGTGAATAAAAATTTGTGATTAAATTTTGATGTTGGAAACCTGATATCTCATACTAGAAGCCTATCTCATAATAGGGGGCTTTCCTCTACATTTACAATCAATTGTCAGGGGTGGGTTGCGACATAAAGAAGCTTGTTATAAACTCGTAACTTCTTGTAGTTGCAGTGTCCACCGCGCAAGTTTACAAGAACCACCCGGAGGATGCAGTTGCAGCGATCGAACCAGCAGCTACAAATAATGACTTCATCACGCAAACCGTTTACGGCTTTTTGGACTTCACCACGACGATCGGAAACACGGTGATGGTCTTCAGTCCTCAGAGCGCTCCTCCAGGTAACTGCGAGACTTTATTTATTTATTAATTACATCTCGGATCCGTAAAATTTGAAATCACATCGCAATAATAACTGATAAAAATATTGCAAGTAAAAATTGTTTACAATTCGCAAAAGTACTGCGGATAAAAAAAAATTGCAGAATCGTAATTTTAATTAGAAATGAAATCAATCGGGTTTGTCCGAGGAGATTGTCAATGTAATAATTGCATCGTCAAATTTCGCTTTCTTTGAAAGTGGGGCCAATTGATAAGTGGAAGACATTCGTTTCAGTTATTATTACAAATCGTTCGATATAAAACGCGTCTCTTTGCCGTAAGTAAGTAAACAACTTCATCGAGAGGTTCCGAAGAGGTAATTCGCCGAGAGACAGGTATCGCGGCGAGGACTGTCGCAATCGGGGAGGCAGAAGATTCGCAATTGGTATTCGTAGCCATGAGGTGTCATGGAATTTTGAATTGTGCCAGAAATTACTTTCTAAGCGCAATCGACACCTCTTTGTTACGCCGTGCTCGTTCACGTGCCCTGATCCTGCGACTTACGAATAAGGATGAGGCCTTGAAACGCTGAAGAGTTTCGCTGTACTCAAGGTGGGCCTTGGCGAGGGGTACCGGGGACCAATCTCTTTAGCATATCGCTATCCGGATCCGCGTACAGATTATGCTCATTGTTCTCACTCGTCATGACTCTCTTGTCATCTCCTCTCCTTGACTTTTCAAACCACCTACTCAGCACGAAGTGCTTATTTGCTTCCTCTTCTTCAAATAAAGATCCTAACATTTAACAGAAAATAATAAAAATGCGAAATTACAATTTATTAACAAGAAAATCAAGTATAACGAAGTAAAAATTTCATTCACTTGTAATTACACTTTGTATTTTATATAATTATTAATAATTATTACAGAAGAAACATGCAATTAGAAATTGATACCAGTTTAAATCACCAAGTGGAATAGAATGATAAAATGTCGCGCGTTATCGGGGAAATTAAAATATAAGAATGCGATTTCAATGAGACGGGATTAAAATAATGAATACGGTCGACGCGCGCACATAATAAAACTGCGAGTCAAGGGAAGAGATTTCCAAGAGTATCCTGAATCCTTTCTCCCGAAAGGATAAAAAATTTGGCGAGGCCTTCGGTGCGGGTGTTGGCCGTCAAGATGCGCTCCTTCAGTCTCGTTTTCCCGGTCGTTCGGCCTCGCGACTTTTATTCTCGTCAGGTATGCAAATGCGACGTTCGTTTTCAGAAGGAGGCGCCGAAAAGAAGACCACGTCCTCCGCGCCGGCGATTCACACGAAGCCGACGACGGAGCAGCAGCCGAAGACAAATGTCCCCGACATCCAGCCTAGCGAGACCCACAAGGTCGCGGATCAGGCCGGTGAGACGAAGAAGCAGTTAAAGGGCACGAAGATCGTTGTGAATTCCGTCATCGCGCAAAACGTGGTGAACCCGTCCGAGAATGCCGCGCCGAAAACGAAGAGCCAGGTGAGATAACGAGGAATGACGCTATACAGGATGTCCTGGCATTACTTTATATTATGTCAACGCGCCTAATTTCTCGATTACTTTAAGGTCGACTTAATTTACAAATGTCTCTTGATATGTAAGAGAATCTACGAGAACACATGTAACACAATATTTAAATTTTGCGATTATACGTATATACATATTTAACAATTACTATACCCTGGCTGAAGTATTAATTTTCGCAATAAGCTTAAAAATTAAAATTATTTGGACACTAACATCCCGTCTTGGCTCTTACTCCTTTATTGCATACAGAGGAAATGTCCCCTGTTATGAGATAGACTTCTAATACGAGACAGCAAGTTTTCAACGTCCAAATCTTCTTTCGCGACGATAACACGATCTAACATTGAATTTTCCACTAAACAGATTTCACCTCGAGAGCAATAAATTTATGGTGGAGCCAATAGATGATGTTTAGATTAATTTAACAGAAACCCCGCGCTATTTCGTCTTAGGAACTCATCTCATAGCTTAATTTAAATTGTGTATATTATACTTTAATCTTTTAGAAATTAAATTATTATAAATTGTATAAATTATAAAGCATTCTATATTGAGAAGACGGCCTAATCGTTCAGCGTGTTCCCTTAGGAGTCAAGTAAACAGACGAAGACGCCCGTATTGTCATCGGTTGTTCAGGTGCGTGCCAAGGATGAAGCTCCAGGCGTGAAGAACAATCTCGCCGAACCGGAATACGATTTTCTCTCGAAGCAACCGACGGAAGTGATCGACGAGACGTACAAGGTATGCAAAATGTAGATCAGAGAAATGATTAAAACCGCAAAGATGGAACCAGTTGCCACGTAAATGCTACAAATAATTAGTTCCCTCGCTCTTGGAACGCCGGAATATGTAATTTTACGTTATTTAATTTTGCGCTATGTCTCGGAGAATGACTGTACCTAACAATTATATATTTTACGTCTTTTTACTGCCTTCCTGGCCTCCTTTTTGATATGTTCTAACTAGATCGATTGACTGCCGGATCTGCTTTCTCTGCTGGTAAGCTAAGTGGAGAAAATGACATATTTAAACATAATATAATATTCTAAAATATACCTCAAGATAATCTTTCTGAATATAACAGCTCTGAATTGATAGTGACATTTCGGTATCTTGACATTTTAATAAGACAGAATAAAACATCTTAATCATTAGTCACATTAGTCATTTCAATAAATTTACCGAAACTTGTTCTCGGCTCTTCGACCGAGCCAATAGCGTACGTTTCAGAAGAGATCGCGAAGATAAATTTACGTTTTATAAATTTTTTTTCCACAGCGTGAAGCGGGACTATTTGATTTACAATCAATTAAAACTTGATATACAAAATTTTCCAGGCGACAAACCTCATGACTCGAAACGTCCCCTACCTTGACAACTTCCCGATCTGATATTTTTCTTTAACCGATCGCGAGTGAAATAGCTCCGTCTTGTGTGTATTTGGGGCGAGAATGAAATGTGATTTACTTTGTTAGAAATGCGACATTGGCTCTTTCGGAATCCAGCCAACGATTTCGCGCTCGCGAGATCCGCGATTATAAACTCTCCACGCTAGATCGGTCGCAGAGGCAGGAAAGTCAGGCGTATATCCAGTTTATAAAAGCGACATTGATCTTCGTGCGCGCGTGAACCGGAGCCGCGAGAAATGGAAATTGAGATTCGGGTTTCGATAGCGTTAATTATCGCGAAACCGGATCGCGTCGCTAACGAGCGCGTCGTCGATCGAAACGAGTTGCTCACCGTCGTTCCGATCGCGTTCTAGCCGACGGGGAAAATGGGTCACCCGGCCAGCGAGGTGAAGAAGGTCTCGCGGGCGGAAGCGGTGCAAGGCTCTGCTCGCCATGTTGAAATTACGCAACGGGCATTTCACGAGCGACTTTCACGATAACTCGCGAAGCCGCGAAATTATACGGAATAACCGCGTCGGCGTAATTTTCCGCGTGCCGTAATCGATTTCCTAGCCGATCCTTTCTAGCCGCCTCCCCTCCGGCTGCGTCCCTCGGCCATGACGGTCGGCGTGAAAGTCCGATCCGATCCCACTGATAAATCGGTTTTGCTCGCAGAGCGCCACTCACGCGCTTTTCCAACGATATTTTCCAGCGTCGCTGCGTCCCGAGTGTTTTATATTTAAATCGGGTTATTATTTTTTTATTATGACATGCTTCTCTCTAAAGTTTTTGGAGTGGAAGCTCACTCGCTTGGAGTGGAATTTGTTCAGTGGCAAATTCATTGTTATATCATGTAATCGTCGCAAAAAAAAAAGACTTGTGATTGAATTTGGATGTTGAAATCCTGCTATCTCATATTAGAAGCCTATTTCATAATAGGGGACTTTTCTCTATATTATTAGCAATTGATACTATGTTAAACTAATAAGAATTCTCCAATGTCGCCAGCGATAATTAACAACGTCAGTGTGTTCTTGACCATACCTGGCATTTTTAATAATACAGAAAATTTATTGCGAAAAATATTACCTCGGCCAGGGTTTGAACCTGGACCTCCCTACACTCTAGGCGTCTCACCAATTCGACCACCGAGGCATGCCTTATTAAAAATGCCAGGTATGGTCAAGAAAACACTGACGTTGATACTATTTTGTTCATATAATTATTATGACAATCCGCTCAGAAGTGTGCAATTTTCAGTCCATTTCTCGAGTGTAAAAACTTGAAACAAAATTTAGTAGGAAAATTACTCCGTTATTATTATATCATGCAATTGTTTATTGCACAGAATTGCCATGACAAGTTTTCCCTCCTCTCCCCCAATGACGTAGTATTTTTCTAATTGCAATCCTGACCTTTGGCAGCTGATCAATCTGCGACCTTCGTCGAAGGCTCTTCAGAAGCCGCGTGCCACCCCGCGAAGAGACAAGGAGAACCCAACCGGCCTGGTGACCAAGCTGGGCGGCACCATCGTGAAGGACGGGCTCACTACTGTGCACGAGACCAGCGTGATCGGGACTTACATCAACGGCAAGTACGCCCAGGTGCTGCAGAGCTCGTCGAGAATCCTGACGGCGCCGGTCGCGCCGGTGGCCGAAGGTAAGATCCGGCCCTCCAGCACCAACCGCATCCTGAAGACCATCGGTCCTCAGCACGGTAAGCTCAAGCCTCAGCTGGAGCCCACCCCGACTTATCAACAGGAAGAGTCCTCGCTGCCCCTGGAGGCCCTCTTCGACGAACCTTCCGGTGAGAAATTCACGATAAGTGTTCGAAACATTTATGCCCAAGTTCTCTTGTCCGCGATCTAAGTCTTTTTTATTTTCAACTTTTCACTCTCAATGACATTTAAAGCACAACGCTTTTCTTATCCTCTCAGGGAATAAGTTCATTGTTTAATTTTCGAATTAGGCATTCCAGTGCGAACGACGCGAAGAAACTCGACCCCCAATAATCCGTCCAGGCTCAAATTCCGAAACAAGATCGCTGATGAATACGATAACAACGAATCACAGCAAACGAGGATCGGAAAGAATCGCTCTAGTACGACGCGACCGAATTATAAGTGAGCATCGTTAACGAAATAACACAATTGGAAAAATTAATTAATAAATGATTTATATTAATCTTCTCTCTCTCTCTTTGTTTTATCAAATAACTAGTTTTATCGCACTATCGTTTTCCTGTAAACATAATAATAGGAAACATAAAATAATTTCACACGAAGCGATTCTCTTTTGACTCAAGTCTTCTTCTTAGAAATCGTCCTGCGACCACCACCACCGAAACGCCTATCACTCGTCGTCGCAGCGGTTTCCGGCCGAACAGTCAGTCCCCTAACTCGCCCACGAAACAGCCGACGAAGTCGAAGAACAGTGACCAGCAGCCGTCGACGACGGTCAGTCTTCTGCCCAAGGTGAAGCTACCGAGAACGCAAGGTCGCTGGTCGTACAAGACCACGCCGAAGCCTAGGATTATGATTCGCAAGCAGGTTGACGAGGAGGACTTGCGAACATCAACGACCGAGCCGAGTACGACGGAGTCATTTCCCGGAGCGATCTTTGACGAGCAAGGCAGGCCGACGGGGGCGACGTTCAACGTCGGCTCGATCTCATCCAGCGGCGCCAATGTCGCCCAGAGGAAGGAACTGTCGTTGACGGAGGACGAGTTGGATCCCAGCGAGAGCGAGGACGTGGCCAGCGTCAGCGTGCAACAGGATCAGCAGCAGCAGCATCCGGCAGAACAGATCCTGCCGATGGAGACGCTCAATGTGGAGATCTCCACCGCGGCGGATCTCGATAATATATACTTCGAAATTGCGACTATCAAATCGCCCTACGCTTTCCAGGTGTTTTTTTATTCTTGTATTTTAATATCCTTGGTAGAAATGTATGCAGTTTCTCTAGACAGCTTCTCTCTTCAGGTAGGAACACTCCGAAACACCCGCTACATCACGGTAACGTCCACCATCAAGAAAACTTTCGCAACAGCCGAACCGAGCAGCTCAATCGCGCCCACCGAACCACTCACGGAGAATATCCTGGCGAACACTGGAGCTGCCTACGAGTCGACCTTGCCGCTGGACTCGTCCGTCGCGACGCTGCCGGCGATCTCTCTGGACGCCGCTCAAGCGACGCCGCCGTTAGAAACGCTGACGGAAACGTTCTCGACAACGCAGACGTTGCTGAAGACGCATATGCTGCCGGTGATCTACGCCGGCAACAGCACTACTCGGCTGACTCTGGTGCAGACGTACAACATCGCCCGGGTGGTAACGGCGACGAAGACGTTGCCGCCGATGGAGATCTATCAGTTTATTCCGAGCAAGACGCTGAACGAGTTCAACTCGAAGCTCGACGAAGCCGGCAGCGAGCTGCACCTCGAGCTCGACTTTGGCGACGACGATCGCGATGACGAGGACGTGCCCAAGAGGGTGGTGGTGCCCAACAACGACCCCGATGCCGATCTGGACATCTTCAAGTCGACGTCGCCGTCAAAGGTCAAGAGCGACGTCGCGACCAGCAGCAACGCCGAGCCTCAGCTGACCCCGGAACAGGCCCAACAATTGGCTCTGCTGAAATACTTCGGTCAGCCGCAACCCCAGGTCATCACTACCTCCAGACCGGTGGTCACCTTGGAGACGCTATATGAATCGCATGTGATTCCCGTCGTGAATTCGGGGAATACCATCTACTCAACGCTGACCAGGCCAGTTGGCACTGTGCCTAGGTCAGTATCTTTATCCAGATACTTTTCACAAGCAAATTTCCCTTTTTTTTTTACGTAATGGATATTTAAAGATCAATTTATAAATAATTAAATATTAATAATTCTATACTCTTTCGTATCTCACGTTATATTTATTACATTGTGTTACATTGATATTTGCTACCGTAATGCATTGTAATTGCGTTTCTCTGCTTCAGAACGTCCTACGAGTACGGCACGTCCACTCTGAGCCCTGTGCTGCAGCCGCAGGTGCCGCAGGTGCCGCAGGTGCCGCAGGTGCCGCAGCTACCGCTATTCCCGCAGCAGCCGCAATTCACGGTGACGAGCGCGCCCGTGGTCACCCAGACTCTCGCCACCGTGTCCGACTCGCGGGTGCTGAAGCTTACCTTCGGCGCCAAAACCGCTTACACCACCCTCTTCTCCACAAAGGTCGTGCCTACCGAACTCACCACCTACATCACCAACACGGTGCCGGTGCAGCCGACGGTACAGGCGTACCCCGGTTACTATCCGGCACCGGTGGCTTATCCGCCCTTCCCCTTCGTCGGTTAGATCCTCGATCCGACCTTCGACTCCTTCGAGTAGTTCGCGATCCATTTCGATTGCGGTCAGTCGCCAGATAGATTCGTTCTCTTTCCCGCTAGATATGAGATTAATTAATTTTTATAATTATATAAAGGAGAAGGTACATAGTTATTCATGATGAATTCTAGGAGCGATACGATCTTAAACACAAAACAGGTCTTCTTTGTTTAATAAGACTTTTTCATGAATTTTTCTTACTAATCTTTTCGATAAAGATACAATATATTTCAACTATATATTTGCATTGGCTGCCATTGCGACAATTAAACACTTAATAAATAGTAAAAACTCGTGATAAATTTAATATTATACTTACATAAGGTTTCTAATAAAAATATCTTAAATTTAAAAAATTTAATTTTTGAAATAAATTTTAATAAAATTATTTTTATGTCAAAATAAAAAAAATAAGAATCAACGTGACCACGCAAATTCACAATACTTTTCACAAAGCAACAAATGTCATAATTGTGTAATAAGTGGGCCAATGTACGTTCTTATGAGAAATACATGAAGGGACGCGGCCGCGATCCCACTGCATGTCAGGCGAAGAAAATTACAAACTTACAGCGTCGAATGATTCAGTGTAGTAAAACGTCAGCGATGACCGCAATCGAACGGCATTATTGTAAATAAATTATTGACTATAATATTATATATATTGTATATCGTATATTGTGTACGTATACCGCGTATTTTGTAAATAAATGAAACAAAAACGTGAATTTACCGTCGCGTTGCAGCAAATCCAGACATCGAATAGAAAAGATTGGAAAAAAATATTAAGTAATCTGTTAATAACACGTAAATTAATTAAATGTAAAACATAATAAAATAAATTTTAATTTTATAATTTTATAAACATAATCGAGATGATAAATCGAAACGATATAGAAGTTAAGGTTTCACTTTTCCAGCTAAAATTGTAATATCATTTCTTACAAAATATTATACACAATGTGGTTATTTATGATAATGGCTAAAATCAGAATTCGATTTAATTATTTATTATTAATTTTTTAATCTTTTATTTTCCATTTATTAATATATCTTCGTGATAATTTTTACGTAGAATATCGGAGATAATATCTCATTTTTAGAAATTATTCGATATTATTAGTATTATTCATTTAATAATTATTAAAAATAGTAACTTATTTATGTATTCTCTTTGTTTTTTTCTATTTTAACGATAGCTTCTTCTAAAAATGACTATTAAATTATAAATATAAATCATGCAAGAAAATAAAAAATGTACAAAAACTACATAAAAATGTTAATGGAAGAATAAACTGCATGTGCTGATTCGATTTTAAAGTAAAACGCATGAATCTCTGTTGCGGATCAACTATAATTAAAATATAATTTTAGGCTCCTTATAAATAGTGACAGAAATATGTGAGCTATTTTGCATCAAATTTAATTTTGAATTGGGGAGACTTTATTCTAAAAGGAAGTCAAATTATTATGTTTGAAAACTGAAAGCTTCAGAAGTTACAAGATACGAGAGTAGAAACTACTTATCGTATATCCTTAATTGGAGTGTCACTCTTAGAATGAATACTCGCAAAATTTGCAATTTAGCAGACTTTGTAATTGTTTTCGTTTTTATAAAAAGAATTATAATTACGGTACTTATATTATGTCACTGTGTATCGTTAGACGACGAATTGATGTCTAACGCTTGAAAGTTATGGATTCCTCTTCTTTCTTGATAGCTCGTACAAGCGTCAGCGACAGCACCGCTATGATCACCTGTAGAAGAGAAAGAAAATAATTAGAACAAAAGCAGCAGGAAACATATCGTATAGAAATTCCCAAGGAGAAATAAGAAGTCGAGACGATGTCAACTTGATGTTGAGACAAGAAAGAGAGATTACAGCTATGACGAAATTAGCTGAGCTACAACTCATGTAGCCCAAATCATGTATATTTATCTCTTCTTGGCGATAAAAAGGACAAAAAGAGGATGAATGAAGTAAAGAGCTTCTTCTTACGTGAAGCATGCACAACGCCATCGCCATACCGGCGAGCCATCCCGATCTCGCCTCCAGAAACCAGGATAGTTCCTCCACACAGCCGTGATGGAAGGCGTTTCCGGTTACGGTGTCCCGGCACTCGGTGGGCAGTGGTTTACGCAATTGTGTGTAATCCCTCGGTCCATCGGCTCCGCAGCATCCGACCTAATATACACATCCGTCAAAAGATTGTACAATCCTGAGAATAAGGTGCTTTTTCCCCGAGGGGAGATTAGTTTTCTCTTACAGTTTCCTGGATTATTCGTAGAATGGAGCTCGCCGCGTCGTGATGGGAGTTGACGATGAGACTGTACATAGACCGTTCGATGATGGGCTGAATCTTACTGTCGTACGTCGAATAATCAAGAATGACCGCCGCTCCGGCTAGACAGCAGATGAAACTGAGCGCTTGAAGACCCACGTGCTAAAATCATGAAACTCCTTTCATACGCTGCTATATGAATTTTTTTCGTATAGTTTTTGCAATCTCGAGAAAATAATGTTTGCAATTTTTAAATCAATTTCACAAAATGATTTCATGCCGTTGAAAATAAGTACTTGAATTTAAAATTAAACGAGGAATATCTGTTTTCGAGGAAGTATTTTGCAAACTCGGTTTTACAAATCTTAATTGATAAAATTAGTGTCGCAAATAGTCATTAATTAGTACTTGAATTAAATAATCGACGATAATTTGCGACAAGCCGAGAATATTTTGAGGCACTAATTTACAAAAGTCTGATTTCTAAGCAACTTGCGAAACGATTTTCTCCGAAATAGTCTCCCTTCGAGAACTCGCTCAGTTCGGTCTACTGATAAGCGTTCTTACGGCGTATAAGGTCATGATGTGTTCCATAAGCGCGGCAGCACAGCCGATGAAGGCGATGGCCATGACGAGCACCGAGGTAGCGATCAGCACGTAAACCCCAATGTAGAACTCGTACATGTTCATGAACTCCACCCATTCTTCGAGCATCGGCTCGAACCGCATCCAGATGGACAGTCCGAACATCGCACAGCCCAGGATCTTTTGCCGAGTGACAAGGATTTTGTTAATTGCATGTTACGGGAATAGCAATGGGAATTTTCTCAACGAAACATCTCAAGCTTTATCTAATAGTCGTGATAATGTAATAGAGAGATAAAATGCTATCTTTCACAGAGACTACATTAATTGCTAAAAGTTAAAATGTCTATAAATTAAATTATGGCTCTTGTTTTATATCTTTTAAACTACTTAATCAATTTCTCTGTGTAATTTGTTTGTATATTTAAGGTCCGGTTTTTCATTTTCTGATTAACTGTCAACCAGAAAAACGAGGCCTAAAAGAATGCAATTTATTAACAAATTAAATCACTTAAAAAGAAACAATCGCTTATCCTATTGAGTGAAAGTTACTTTCAGTAACGATAGAAAGAAATTCATGTTTTACGAAACAAGTTCTCGAAACTCTATTATAACTTGTTTGTCTTTGTTTTTCCAGATTCATTAGCATCGTCCGATACAATTCACTCCGATTTTTTCAATTCACACGTAAAATTAATCATTTCACTATGGTATAACTTCACAAGACGACGCAATCAACGAGATAACTCCACGCGCACCCACCCATATTATCGCGTTCAAGCAGAAAATCGTGAACTTAATACAGCCGATCTGCTTCTCGAGAGGCGGCCCGGAACTCTTGGCGACCATCTTCATGTGTCCTGCGGGAGATATCATCCGTCGCGTATTAACACTTCCCCAATTCACGTAAAAAAGACGGCTATTTCGGAAACGAGGCGACGCGACGTAATTAAGTCGATCGGGAACGTCGACAGGTACAAGAGTATCATCGCTTAACGTTCCGGTGCTTTATCACTAGCAAATACAAGATAAGTGGATAAGAGCGCCCTAGATAAAGATATAACGCATCGCCGAGGTGAATCATTTCATTCGCGGTATGTGTGATAGACGTAAATTATTAAAAGGTGTGATTATTAATCAGCAAAGTGCTTCCGTTTGTTTAATCGATGTCTTAGTTTCTCCAAGACATTTACATATTCATGGAGAAGTCATATACATTGTGGATGCGAACGAAACAAAAGTCAAAAGTCATATTTTATTCGTGATGAAGTTAAATTTTAGAAATTTTGGAGACGTGAGAATATTAATTTATTAAATCTTCAAAGTTACTGATATACAAAATATTGTTAGTTACACATTTCAAAATACAAACAATAAATTAATTATAAACCTTTTCTCAGATCAATTTTCAGATAATAGACACCAGACGCAACGCAAATGGAAATTACAGAATTGATATATTGTATGACTTATTAAACGTATTTTATTTACAATAGCCGTTATAAAATTAACGATTACAAAAGAGAAAAGACATACTAGACTAATTTGCGCGTCGCGATGTAAAAAAGAAAAGAGATTAATAGAAATCTTCCTCCGTCGTTTTCGACGCGGAAGTTTTATTTTTAATTTGCTCTTGATTATTGTACATGTCCGCCACATCTTGAGCGGAAGTGGCCTGCTCGCAGTTCTTATCCTCACGGATTCTGATGAATCGCGGAAATCTTAAAGAAATTCCCTTTTCCGGATCGACCTGAACAGAACAAAGATAAAATATAGGCTACCTCTTTTTTAATTCGAAAAACATTTATTAAAGAAGCTTCAAATTCCAAGGGAACTCGAAGGAAGGATTAATTGAAGAAATACTGTTTCTATCATCTCTGTTTAGTTGACAAAAAAAAATACATCTCTAAAATATCACGATAATGCAATCTGTCCGACACAATGCGGATAAAAGATTTCCGGAAATAAAATGTATTATTACGTTACGTCATATCAATTTCTTTTGGCGCAATTACGGCGAGCTATATTTTTACGAATGCTTGCTTTCGCAAACACAGGAAACTCACTATTCCGATAGCAGCTCTGTGCACGGGCGATAGGGAGAGATCGGCACATTTGATCTCCCAGACTTGAATGGGCTCGAACCAATGATCCGGCTCGTGGCTGCTATCAAAGCGGTAATACGTTTTCGCCTGCGGTATTACTTGATCTTTGAAGAATTTGGTGTGATTCTCGAGGTCCTCCTCCTTGAATCCTGTACCAATCTGTTTATGAGAAAATAATGTAGTACACCGATATCGGCTAGAAGTAATACGCCAAGCGAACAAAATATAATATGCTCACAATAGAAGTTCAAGTTGTAAGAACAATCAGATACTTATTGTATTTGTTATATATATGTATATTTAAAAAAATATCTCAATACAAGTATTAGAGACACTTAAATACCGGATAAAAATTTATCCATTTAACTAATTACATAATGTGTTCTTGTTCATTTCCACAGAACCAAAGATATATTTCGGTGACATTACCTTACAGATGCTTTGGTACTCCTCGTTTTCCTGATCGTAACAAGCCAAGAGGAAACCACCGTAAGTGCCGGTCCTCTTCCCTTTGCCGATGTAACCACCGATCACGATCACGTCGAGTGTATCGCCGACGCCGTCCAGATAATCCTTCTTCAGTTTCAGCCAGTTTCTCGATCGCTTCGCGATCTCGTAGGTCGCCTCCTTCTCCAACGTCTTCACCATCAGGCCCTCGCAATTTCCCTTCACAGATTCATCCAAGAAGACTTCCACCTCTTCCATCGTCGTGGTATCCATACTAGTGGCGAATTTCCATTCACCCTCCGCTTCCTTGAAGTGCTGCTTCAGCAATTCACGACGTTTCACGAATGTTTTCTTCACCAACGGCTCATCATTTAAATATAACAAATCGAACATGAACACGCACACTTGTACTTTGATATCTTCCTCATTAGCATCCTAAGAATAAAAATGAGATATTTAGAACAACCATGATTATAGCAATTATAATCTTAATATAACAATTGCAATCACCTAATGACAGTAAAGTTATAATAATTACAATCAAAGCAGTAATTGAAATTAAACTGAAAATGATTGTAATATGTAATTATTACCTTTCGCTTTCTTGTGCTGAGTATTTGGAACGGTAAGATTTGCTTCTTCTCTCTATCCCAAGCAACTGCCTCGCAATCCAGTATGCAATTCTTCACCAGCTCGCCACGTGTATTCTTGAATCGCTTAATGATATCTGGATACTTGCTAGTATTGTTCTCCTGATTTCTACTGTATATATTAATCTGACCGTCGTCCGCGACGTGTATCTGCCGAATTATATTTAATATTTTTAATGACTTTAATCTAAATTATATTATGTCCTTAGCGAATTAATATTCAAACATCTTATTTCCTTCTTAATGAGATAGAGTATTATTTATTACAGTATTATCAAGTTTGTAAAACGGAATAAATGGGCACCTGTGCTCTTTCCCCATCGTACTTCCATTCGCAAGTAAATTTCAAGCCTTCGAAACGTGTCAGGACTTCTTGAACACCCTTAGTAGGATGTGCCAACATGGGTTTCAAAGGTATTCCAGGAGTGAGCTTGCACTTGCTTGGCAAGGCATTAATTCCGTCTTCCAGTAGAACGGGAATTATAAGATTGTAATTCGGACATTCACTGCAAGATATAAAATTAGTAAAAACTTGAGGGAAACTTAAGTAGCTGATACAATATCTTGCTTATGAATTGGGAAATAAGATTTTTTATAAAATTACTTATTGTAACTTTATTTTGTTTCAAACATAATTATATGTTGTATGGACATTTTATATAATAGGTATATATTTTTCCTTTTTAGTTGAGGAGAATATCTTACTTCAAGGAAAATATTATTTAATCTAATTCATTAGTTTTAATACTTGTAACAGTAATATTTTCATAATGATCTTACCAATACGTTGTTTTCAATATAAGCGCTATCTCTTCATACTTTTCTTTAAACCGATCACTCGACATCTTTTTGCTTGCATTCAGAATTTCAGGTGGATAATTTTGTTCCGGCGGTGTCATCGCGCAAGCTAAAGCCAATGCCTAAGAAAGTCCAGATATTTAATGATATTTAATAACAATCGAAGCAGCATGATATCGCGAGTGGCTTACTTGTAAAACAGATTGTTCCGCTAATCCAATACGAAGCTTCCCAGCCAATGATCTAATGAGGTATCTCGCTTCTGTATTACGGCACGCCACGAACAGCGTTTGAATCTTATCTAACTTTTTCGTCAGAGACTGTAGAAAAGAATTAATGTTTATTTATGCAAAGATATGGCGGTTTTTAACTTGCTTATTTTAATATAAGTATTTTATGTTTCTCGTTTAATTTATTTAAAATCAACATTAATTTAGTTCAGTTTTTAAACACCTTCATTTTTAATTTATATTATATCTATAATTAATCTTTCTCAGTGCTGTGAGAAAAAACATTTTTTTTAGAGAGAATATATATATAATTAAAAAACTCGTATTAATAAGATATATTAATAAAAAATCATAATTATAACAGTTGTGTGGATTACCGCCTGCCCTGTCATCTGGCCGATCTCCTTTAGTTTGGCGTACACGTTGGGAACCGTCAACGGTGCCGGTTGAAACATAGTTCTTTGATTGGATCTGCTACTTTCCGCCACGATGCCCAAATCGCCGACCTTCTGGACATCATCTTTAATTTGCGCCAGTGTTCTACCGGTACACTGCGCTATCGCCTTCATTAGATTCGTGTCCGCGACTCCAAGCTCAATTCCTAAAACGCATAAATTATTCTAACGCAATGCTAACAATAATTTTAAATAGTCATCTTTAGACAAATACCAAATTTTTTTCAATTGTTGAATAATCAATTTCATTATTAACCTTCGTACGCCGGCGCTAATTGATTAAGGCACAGATAAACGCTCGGCAGAAGATCCGCGGGACTCAGGACTATGACGGATCGGAAGTAATTTGACAATACCTCGATTATCTTTAATCTTGCGCTTGTCTCCTCGATGATCTCCAAGGTGCGCGCAAAAGCGCTATATGGAGTTCTGGGAATTCGAAAGAGAGGATTTTAAATGTCTCTAAAGCTTTAGGAAAGTTTTACGGATTCCTAAAGTATTTCTAAATCTTGTAAAACTTTTATTCCAACTCACTTGTCCCCTCGTTTCCAGCATGCATCGTCTATCGGATGATAGACAGACGCGATGGGATTGTAGGACCGGCTGGCGCTTTTTCCATTGCTCACTTTGTCATCCTTCGCGTCGCCCTTTTGTTTTGTAGGCACTGCAACAAAATGTAGGTACTCGTAAAATTGTTTGATTATTTTTTAAAGCTCTTGCAATACATTGAAATACAAAATTTAGTCTGCAATGTTTTCGAAATAAATTATTGAATACTCACTAAAAAAGCTGGACACTTTTTTAGCTTTCTTCTCAGGCGTAGGCTTCTTCTCCGGGCTTTCATTCTTAACGGTAGACTGTGATTTCTTTTCAGGTGTAGACTCCTTCGGACTTTTCTCTTCGTTGTCCGACGCACTTTCAATCACGTCTTTATTTGAAGCGGTTTCATTTATTTCGCTGGACTCGTTTACGCTCTCTGTTATCTTTTCCTCGTCCTTAACCTCCGATCTTTTCGGACTTTCAGGCAACTATAATCATTTGTACATATGTATAAGAAAAATGTGCAAACATTTATAAATTTATAATGAGATTCACACTTTCTCTGGGAAAATTAATTAAAATTGCATTATAGTTTTAGTACTAAAATTTTAAAAGAATCTTTAAACGTACAGGTAGGTGATTCTCGTCGTCACTGGAATCTACTGGCTCAATGATCCTGGCACGCTTCTTCTTCACAGTTTCCTTCACCTTATTAGACTCAGATTTCTTCTTCGAAGAAGCAGCTTCTTCCTTTTTCTTTTTACCCTTAGCCGTACCATTTTCTATTTGAGTATTATTGGTCTCCTCTTCTATGGCGCCATTTAGAGTTTCGTCCGTTTCCTTCTTCTTCTTCTTCCTATCAGGTGTATCTTTCAATTGTTTCTTCTCTGTCTTCTTCGACGACCCAGGTGAGAGTTTATTCAACTTATTCTTCGGTGTAGCTCCTTAAGAGATAATCATAATTATATACCTAAGGGATGTATTGTATCTGAGAAAAAATCCACAGCTCAACGTGGTGTAGTTACCTAGTTTCGCACGAGGTTTCACACTTGGCGAGGGAGTCTTGGCAATCAGTTTTGGCTTCGTAAGTTTGGTGTTCTGCTTCTTCGAAGGTGGAGAACTGCAAGACCAACGACTGATGAGAAAACAATGTTAAAAGCAAAGGGAAACGATATAGTTTGTTGCAATTTGAGACGCGAACTCGTATCATATTAGACTTAATCACCTGCTAGAGTTGTCCCTCTTCCGTTTGCCGTTCTCCGTTGCATCCTGATTCTTCTGCTCGTCCGAGTTGCGGCTGTTGGTTGCATGTATCCGATTAAAAACGAATTGGCTGCGAGCTGCGACCGCGAGCTCTAGCCGTCGCGCCGGTAGAGCCAACGAGCTCAAGCGCGAGCATGTGGTGAAGATTTTTAGCATAATCGATTAATATAGAGATAGAGAGACTATTAACGGCGTAACATACCTCTCCGAGTTGTCCTGGTTCAAATCCTTCTTGGATGGAACTTTAGTGAAAAAGGAGCTGCAAACAAATAAGTTGATGTCAAGATTTGTACAGGAAAAATTGCCACATTAATTAGTTGAACCGCGGACTTCGTGTATTATAATTCGAATTATGTCTAATTATCGAAATAATTATTATAGCTGCTCACTCTATACGACGCTGCGCCATTCTCACGCTGCTTCTACGCGTTTGACAGTTTTCCCGCGTTTATTTGGGAGATCGTGACGGTAACATAACCGTATTTTCGTAGACTATATACTGTATAGAAGACAGATCCTCTTTGAATACGGCATGGACGCACGCCACCTTCACGATGTGACAATAAACACTAAATATCCGATACCAAGATGGCTGAACGCGGCCATTGGCCGCGTTCAGCAAACACAACTGTTGAGTGAGCGCTCGGTATGATTGGTTAATACTTTTAGATCCAGCCAATCATATTAAGAAATCATTGAGCGCTCACTCAACAATTGTGCTTGCTGAACATGGCCATTGGGTTCAGCAGACACAACTGTTGAGTGAGCGCTCAGTACGATTGGTTGATACTTTTAGATCCAGCCAATCATG